GGTTCTAGGACAGCAAACCAGGCCTGTAAAAACTCTTTACTGGAGAGGTGCTCACCGCCTGGCCACCATAGAACTACTTACCACACACTACACCCCCCCCCACTTCAGTACATACCACACACTGCCCCCCTCTTCACTACTACCGCCACCCCCCCTCTTCACTACGTACCGCACACTGCCCCCCCCTTCACTACGTACCGCACACTGCCCCCCTTCACTACGTACCGCACACTGCCCCCCCTTCACTGCGTACCGCACACTGCTCTGCCGCACCTCCCTTCACTACGTACCGCACACTGCTCCTCCCTTCACTACGTACCACACACTGCCGCACACTGCTCCTCCCTTCACTACGTACCGCATGCACTACGTACCGCACACCTCCTCCCTTCACTACGTACCCACACTGCTCCTCCCTTCACATACCGCAACTGCCCCTCCCTTCACTACGTACCCCACTACATACCATGGACCATCCCCCACTACGTACCGCACACTACCACTACGTACCGCACACCCCTCCCTTCACCCCCACTACATAACATGGACCGTCCCCCCACCCCATACCATGGACCACCCCATCCCCATACTACGGGCCGACCCCTCCCCACTACATAACCTTCACTACATACCACGAACTGCCCCCCCCTTCACTACGTACCGCACACTGCCCCCCCCCTTCAATGCGTACCGCACACTGCCCCTCCCTTCACTACGTACCGCACACTGCCCCTCCCTTCACTACGTACCGCACACTGCCCCTCCCTTCACTACGTACCGCACACTGCCCCTCCCTTCACTACGTACCGCACACTGCCACTCCCTTCACTTCATATCACGGACCGCCCCCCCCCACCCCCAATACATACCAAAGATCAGCCCCCACCCCCACTACATACCATGGACCATCCCCCACTACATACCATGGGCCGACCCCACCCCCCACTACATGCTTTGTGGCTAAATGGATCTGTGTGTTCCTTGCCCCATTTTGGGGGAACTAGCAGAAATGATCCATATTTTTAACTCTGCCATGGCCGGTCCCAAGCCTGTGCTGTGAAAAGAGGAGGGTTGGGTGCTGGGACAGTAATCCAGCCCTATAAAAATCATTTACAGAGCTCCAAAGGTTGTACGTGAAGGTTGTATGCAAGCGCAAGTAAAGTGAAGGGGCAGTTTCTGCTCCCCTCCAAAACAGGTCAAGTACTTACCACTGTTCATCATCTTGTCCATCATGCTTTGTGGCTAAATGGACCTGTGTGTTCCTTGCCCCATTTTGGGGGAACTAGCAGAAATTATCCATATTTTTAACTCTGCCATGGCCGGTCCCAAGCCCGTGCTGCGAAAAAAGAGGAGGGTTGGGTGCTGGGACAGCAATACAGCCCTATAAAAATCATTTACAGAGCTGTTGGAATTGTTTAGTGACACTGAGGTAATGGTATGTCTTGGGAAAGTTCGATGACACCGAGGCAATAAAGACTACACTAAACACGGTTGGTTCTGAGAGCAATGGCCCAGACCTTATTCCATAACACTTGGAAGATGCTTATTGCAGTCTAGAGCTTGTCTAAAGTTTGCACATGATTGTTGTGTGCAACGACACGTAAAGTGCAGGGGGACTATGTGCTCCCCTCCAAAACTTGTAGTCTACTACCACTGATCATGATGTGGTCCACCATGCTTTGTGGTAAAATGGACCTGTGTGTTCCTTGCCCAGTTGGGGGGTATTAGCATACATTATCCATATTTTTAACTCTGCCATGGCCGGTCTCAAGCCCGTGCTTTGAAAAGAGGAGGGTCTGGTTCTAGGACAGCAAACCAGGCCTGTTAAAACTGTTTACAGAGCGCTTGGGATTGTTTAGTGACAGTGAGGTAATGGTCTTTCTTGGGAAAGTTTGATGAGACTGAGGCTATGAGAACCACACTAAGAATGATTATTTCTGAAAGCAATGGCCCAGAGCTTTATCCATAACACTTGGAAGATGCTTATTGCAGTCTAGAGTTGCTCCAAAGGTTGTACGAGAAGGTAGTGTGCAAGCGTAAGAAAAGTGCAGGGGCAGTTTCATCTCCCCTCAAACAGGTCGACTACTGTTAGAGAAATTAGATGATTATTTTATAATCATTTATGCCTGCTTACAAAAGATTATTTAAGAAACCATACTTTTGAAATACATGTAACCGTAAGCTACTTCCTTATTTGAGTCTAAGACTGAGCTACACCTCCTTCTAGGAAATGATAATAAAGGTCAAGCCCAGACACACAAGTTAACCAATCATGTCCAGAAGAGGTGGCCAAGTCAGCATTTTTAACATTTTAGGAAAAAGTATTTAAAACCTAGGTTGATTATTGCCAAATTAGACAAGCCTGGATAGGCGTCTATCAGGCTAATTGCTGTTTATGCAGCCCTATTGCACGGGTCACAGTGGTTAGAACCAATAGACAAATATCCAGTGGATATGCATCTATCAGGCTAATTGCTGTGTATGCAGCCCTATTGCAGGGGTCACAGTGGTTAGAACCAATAGACAAAAATATCCTTTTGCTGTTACTTGTCTCCTCATATGAGTACATAAACTTCTTAACTTGACCCTGAGTGCGGTCTAAGGTGGATTTCCCTCACAACTACTTACCACTGTTCATCATCTTGTCCACCATGCTTTGTAGCTAAATAGACCTGTGTGTTCCTTGCCCCAGTTTGGGGGTAATAGCATACATTATCCATATTTTTAACTCTGCAATGGCCGGTCCCAAGCCCGTGTTTTGAAAAGAGGAGGGTTGGGTTCTACGACAGCAAACCAGGCCTGTAAAAACTGTTTACAGAGCGCTTGGGAATGTTTAGTGACAGTGAAGTATTGGTCTTTCTTTGGAAAGTTCAATGACACTGAGGCAATGAAGACCACACTAAGCACGGTTATTTCTTAGAGCAATGGCCCAGAGCTTATTCCATAACCCTTGGAAGATGCTTATTGCAGTTTCCCCAAAGGTTGTACGTGAAGGTAGTGTGCAAGCGTAAGAAAAGTGCTAAGGCAGTTTCTTCTCCCCTCAAACAGGTCGACTACTGTTAGAGAAATTAGATGATTATTTTATAATCATTAATGCCTACTTTCAAAAGATTGTTTAATAAACCATACTTTTGAAATACATGTAACCATAAGCTACTTCCTTATTTGAGTCTAAGACTGAGCTACACCTCCTTCTAGGAAATGATAATAAAGGTAATGTCAGGAATGGACTTGCCAATGGTGGTGGGACTCACCTGCCTTGTGGGCTGCAGTACCAGGGCTGGCCAGCGGGTGCTTTCAGCAACCAGAGGCTCACTCCTGCAATGAGCCATCACCTGAAGCTGATTACAACAGGTGTATTTAAGGAATGGCCAGGCCTGTGATCAGGGCCTTGGTGTATGTTTCCCATGGGCCCCTGTACCTGCATCCTGTCTGCTTTCTGCCTGATCCAGATTCTGCTTCGATCCCTGACTCTGCATGAACTCCGCCTGTCCTGACCTCGGCTATCCCTGACTACTCTTCCGCCTGCTCCTTGTGCCCTGCCTGCCGTTTGCTACCGACCCGGCCTGCCCGACTACGCTTTAGTATTGTTTCTATTGTTATCTGTTGGAGGTTTGGGTTGGTTTGTTTGCACTGTGTTGTTGTTTAGTCTTGCACTGCGTCTATGTTTTGTTTGGTCTTAATAAATTGTCTTATTCACACTATACCTGAAGTCTGCATTTCCCTGTGTCAGTCCACACATTTCTGGTCATACCCGGATCCCTAACAGAACACCAAGGCCATTCTGACCAGAAGTGGCTGCACAGGGAAGCCATCTTGGCTTATTGTTGTTGGGAAGGATGCATCTTGATGAGGTGATATATTTGTCTCTGCTAGTCTTTGATGACAGAGATTATGCTTATCAGACTCTGAAGGAGTATACCAGGGATCAACTACTAGAATGCATAAGGATCGCTCATTGCCTAGTAGATCAGGGCACAGAGTTCTCTGAGGTGCAACCATTGATTCAGGTTTTGCAGAGTTGGCTTCATCTGGTACCCCCGAATGCAAGGATGAATTTTTGCCGCCATTTAGTACCGACCAGGTAGAGTCCCTGGTGTGGTTATTGGAGGATGATGTGGATTACTTCTTGGAGCGTTATTCTGCATGTTCACAAAAGGTGCTAAGAGATTGTATAAACGCAGTGCAGTCTTTGACCAGACAGGCTTTGTGTAAGCTGAGCTTTGTTCAACCCATACTGCAGACATGGTCAGACTTGTTGCACCCAGCCTCAGTCAGCTTGCAACGTCATTCCTCTGCTCAAGGCACTCTTCCTGCATCCCCGACAGCACCCCCAGTGACGGCCCAGTATACTCTGCTAACTACCACATATCAGTCCCCTGCTCCCACTCGCTGCACCTATGCTATCTTTAACCCTGTAAAGAAGTCCTCTGTAGCAACTGCTCCCTCCTTTGTTCCATCCCTCAGCTCTTCTCTGCCTACAGCTGCTCTATCCACTTACAAACCTGCGCTTACTTCCTGCGCTCCAGTAACTAAAACCAGGAAAAAGCGAAAATTCTTTCCAACCAATACCATTCTGCCAGTATCCAAACCGGTCAGCCTGCCGTCTGAGAACCCCCCTTTCGTGGTTCAGCCTGATGCCCGATGACCCAGTGTACCCTACCCAGCTTGATGTGTCTACCCAGCCTGATGGTCCTATTATGCCAAATGACTCGGTGCCCGCTGTCAAGCCAGACGATCCAGAGCCAGATGACCTGATGACCCAATGCCCTCTGTCAAGCCAGACGATCCAATGCCTGATGACCCGATGCCCGCTGTCAAGCCAGACGATCCAATGCCTGATGACCCGGTGCCCGCTGTCGAACCAGATGCCCTGGTACCTGCTGTCGAGCCAGATGACCTGATGCCCTCTGTCGAGCCAGATGACCCGATGCCCACTGTCGAGCCAGATGACCCGATGCCAGATGACCCGGTGCCAGCTGTCGAGCCAGATTATCTAATGCCAGATGACTCGGTGCCCGCTGTCGTGCCAGATGACTCGGTGCCCGCTGTCGTGCCAGATGACTCGGTGCCCGCTGTCGTGCCAGATGACTCGGTGCCCGCTGTCGAGCTTGGGTACCCAGTGCTCATGGTTCTGCTAGATGGCTCGGTGCCCGCTGTCGCGCCAGATGGCTCGGTGCCCGCTGTCGCGCCAGATGGCTCGGTGCCCGCTGTCGCGCCAGATGGCTCGGTGCCCGCTGTCGCGCCAGATGGCTCGGTGCCCGCTGTCGAGCTTGGGTACCCAGTGCTCATGGTTCTGCTAGATGGCTCGGTGCCCGCTGTCGCGCCAGATGGCTCGGTGCCCGCTGTCGCGCCAGATGGCTCGGTGCCCGCTGTCGCGCCAGATGGCTCGGTGCCCCGCTGTCGCGCCAGATGGCTCGGTGCCCGCCCGCTGTCGCGCCAGATGGCTCGGTGCCCGCTGTCGAGCTTGGGTACCCAGTGCTCATGGTTCTGCTAGATGGCTCGGTGCCCGCTGTCGCGCCAGATGGCTCGGTGCCCGCTGTCGCGCCAGATGGCTCGGTGCCCCGCTGTAATGCCAGATGACTCGGTGATAGTGCCCGTTGTCGAGCTTGGTGACCTGGTACCCGCTGTCCTGCCAGATGACTCTGTGTCCGCTGTCGAGCTTTGTGACCCAGTGTCCGCGGTTCTGCCAGATGACTCGGTACCCGCTGTCCTGCCAGATGACTCGGTGCCCGCTGTCGAGCTTGGTGACCCAGTGCCCGCGGTTCTGCCAGATGACCCAGTACCCGCTTTCCTGCCAGATGACTTGGTGCCCGCTGTCGAGCTTGGTGAACCAGTGCCCGCTGTCGTGCCAGATGGCTCGGTGCCCGCTGTCGTGCCAGATGGCTCGGTGCCCGCTGTCGTGCCAGATGGCTCGGTGCCCGCTGTCGTGCCAGATGGCTCGGTGCCCGCTGTCGTGCCAGATGGCTCGGTGCCCGCTGTCATGCCAGATGACTCGGTGCCCGCTGTCGAGCTTGGTGACCCAGTGCCCGCGGTTCTGCCAGATGACCCAGTACCCGCTTTCCTGCCAGATGGCTCGGTGCCCGCTGTTGTGCCAGATGGCTCGGTGCCCGCTGTTGTGCCAGATGGCTCGGTGCCCGCTGTTGTGCCAGATGGCTCGGTGCCCGCTGTTGTGCCAGATGGCTCGGTGCCCGCTGTCCTGCCAGATGACTCGGTGTCCGCTGTCCAGCTTGGTGACCCGGTGTCCGCGGTTCTGCTAGATGGCTCAGTGCCCGCTGTCGTGCCAGATGGCTCGGTGCCCGCTGTCGTGCCAGATGGCTCGGTGCCCGCTGTCGTGCCAGATGGCTCGGTGCCCGCTGTCGTGCCAGATGACTCGGTGCCCGCTGTCGTGCCAGATGACTCGGTGCCCGCTGTCGAGCTTGGTGACCCAGTGCCCGCGGTTCTGCCAGATGACTCGGTACCCGCTGTCCTGCCAGATGACTTGGTGCCCGCTGTCGAGCTTGGTGAACCAGTGCCCCTGTCGTGCCAGATGGCTCGGTGCCCGCTGTGTGCGATGGCTTCGGTGCCCGCCCCAGATGACTCGGTGCCCGCTGTCGTGCCAGATGGACTCGGTGGTGCCCGCTGTCGTGCCAGATGACTCGGTGCCCGCTGTCGTGCCAGATGACTCGGTGCCCGCTGTCGTGCCAGATGACTCGGTGCCCGCTGTCGTGCCAGATGACTCGGTGCCCGCTGTCGTGCCAGATGACTCGGTGCCCGCTGTCGAGCTTGGTGACCCAGTGCCAGGTTTTTCGCCACTGACCGCTGTTGCCAGATGACCCGCTGCCCAGATGCTGTCGAGCCAGATGGTGACCCAGTGCCCGCGGTTCTGCCAGATGACTCGGTGCCCCGCTGTCCTGCCAGATGACTCGGTGCCCGCTGACGAGCTTGGTGACCCAGTGCCCGCGGTTCTGCCAGATGACCCAGGTACCCGCTTGTCCTGCCAGATGACTCTCGGTGCCCGCTGTCGAGCTTGGTGAACCAGTGCCCGCGGTGTCTGCCAGATGACCCAGATGGCTTTCCTGCCAGATGACTTGGTGCCCGCTGTCGAGCTTGGTGAACCAGTGCCCGCTGTCGTGCCAGATGGCTCGGTGCCCGCTGTCGTGCCAGATGGCTCGGTGCCCGCTGTCGTGCCAGATGGCTCGGTGCCCGCTGTCGTGCCAGATGGCTCGGTGCCCGCTGTCGTGCCAGATGGCTCGGTGCCCGCTGTCGTGCCAGATGGCTCGGTGCCCGCTGTCGTGCCAGATGACTCGGTGCCCGCTGTCTAGCTTGGTGACCCAGTGCCCGCGGTTCTGTCAGATGACTCGGGTACCCGCTGTCCTGTCAGATGACTCGGTGCCCGCTGTCGAGCTTGGTGACCCAGTGCCCGCGGTTCTGCCAGATGACCCAGTACCCGCTTTCCTGCCAGATGACTTGGTGCCCGCTGTCGAGCTTGGTGAACCAGTGCCCGCTGTCGTGCCAGATGGCTCGGTGCCCGCTGTTGTGCCAGATGGCTCGGTGCTCGCTGTCCTGCCAGATGACTCGGTGTCCGCTGTCGAGCTTGGTGACCCGGTGTCCGCGGTTCTGCCAGCCCAGATGGCTCGGTGCCCGCTATCGTGCCAGATGGCTCGGTGCCCGCTGTCGTGCCAGATGGCTCGGTGCCCGCTGTCGTGCCAGATGGCTCGGTGCCCGCTGTCGTGCCAGATGGCTCGGTGCCCGCTGTCGTGCCAGATGGCTCGGTGCCCGCTGTCGTGCCAGATGGCTCGGTGCCCGCTGTCGTGCCAGATGGCTCGGTGCCCGCTGTCGTGCCAGATGACTCGGTGCCCGCTGTCGAGCTTGGTGACCCAGTGCCCGTGGTTCTGCCAGATGACTCGGTACCCGCTGTCCTGCCAGATGACTCGGTGCCGCCGCTGTCCTGCCAGATGACTCGGTGCCCGCTGTCGAGCTTGGTGACCCAGTGCCCGCGGTTCTGCCAGATGACTCGGTACCCGCTGTCCTGCCAGATGACTCGGTGCCCGCTGTCGAGCTTGGTGACCCAGTGCCCGCGGTTCTGCCAGATGACCCAGTACCCGCTTTCCTGCCAGATGACTTGGTGCCCGCTGTCGAGCTTGGTGACCCAGTGCCCGCTGTCGTGCCAGATGGCTCGGTGCCCGCTGTCGTGCCAGATGGCTCGGTGCCCGCTGTCGTGCCAGATGGCTCGGTGCCCGCTGTCGTGTCGTGCCAGATGGCTCGGTGCCCGCTGTCGTGCCAGATGGCTCGGTGCCCGCGGTTCTGCCAGATGACTCGGTGCCTGCTGCTCCGCCTGATGGCCCGGTGCCTGCTGCTCCGCCTGGTGACCCGGTGCCCGCGGTTCTACCAGATGACTCGGTACCCGCTGTCCTCCCAGATGACTCGGTGCCCGCTGTCGAGCCAGATGGCTCGGTGCCCGCTGTCGTGCCAGATGGCTCGGTGCCCGCTGTCGTGCCAGATGGCTCGGTGCCCGCTGTCGTGCCAGATGGCTCGGTGCCCGCTGTCGTGCCAGATGGCTCGGTGCCCGCTGTCGTGCCAGATGGCTCGGTGCCCGCTGTCGTGCCAGATGGCTCGGTGCCCGCGGTTCTGCCAGATGACTCGGTGCCTGCTGCTCCGCCTGATGGCCCGGTGCCTGCTGCTCCGCCTGGTGACCCGGTGCCCGCGGTTCTACCAGATGACTCGGTACCCGCTGTCCTCCCAGATGACTCGGTGCCTGCTGTCGAGCCTGGTGACCCAGTGCCCGCTGTCGTGCCAGATGGCTCGGTGCCCGCTGTCGTGCCAGATGGCTCGGTGCCCGCTGTCGTGCCAGATGGCTCGGTGCCCGCTGTCGTGCCAGATGGCTCGGTGCCCGCTGTCGTGCCAGATGGCTCGGTGCCCGCTGTCGTGCCAGATGGCTCGGTGCCCCGCTGTCGTGCCAGATGGCTCGGTGCCCGCTGTCGTGCCAGATGGCTCGGTGCCCGCTGTCGTGCCAGATGGCTCGGTGCCCGCTGTCGTGCCAGATGGCTCGGTGCCCGCTGTCGTGCCAGATGGCTCGGTGCCCGCTGTCCTGCCAGATGGCTCGGTGCCCGCTGTCGAGCTTGGTGACACAGTGCCCGCGGTTCTGCCAGATGGCCCGGTGCCTGCTGCTCCGCCTGATGGCCCGGTACCCGCTGCCTTGCCTGCTGCTACGCCTGATGGCCCGGTGCCTGCTGCTCTCGCCAGATGACTCGGTACCCACTGTCCTGCCAGATGACTCGGTGCCTGCTGCTCTGCCTGATGGCCCGGTACCCGCTGCTCCGCCTGATGGTCCGGTGCCCGCTGCCTTGCCTGCTGCTCCGCCTGATGGCCCGGTGCCCGCTGCCTCTGCCTGCTGCCCAGCCTGCTGTGCCTCTGCCTGCTGCCCAGCCTGCCGTACCAGCTCCTGATGCCCAGCCTGCTTCTGGAAATCCTGTGTCCAGCAATCTGCCTTCTTGCAGTCTCCTACAAAAAGATAGGAATATCAGCAGGAGACCCAGTCAATCGCTTGATTCCGGCAGTGGGATGTCTAGCCAGTTGCCAGACCCAGGTGGTGGAACATTTGGGCCATTACGGACTGTTTGGAGCGTCCTGAGGCCGCTCCTTGAGGGGGGGGGGGGTACTGTCAGGAATGGACTTGCCAGTGCTGGTGGGACTCGCCTGCCTTGTGGGCTGCAGTACCAGGGCTGGCCAGCAGGTGCTCTCAGCAACCAGAGGCTCACTCCTGCAATGAGCCATCACCTGAAGCTGATTACAACAGGTGTATTTAAGGAATGGCCAGGCCTGTGATCAGGGCCTTGGTGTATGTTTCCCATGGGCCCCTGTACCTGCATCCTGTCTGCTTTCTGCCTGATCCAGATTCTGCTTCGCTCCCTGACTCTGCATGAACTCCGCCTGTCCTGACCTCGGCTATTCCTGACTACTCTTCCGCCTGCTCCTTGTGCCCTGCCTGCCCGTTTGCTACCGACCCGGCCTGCCCGACTACGCTTAGTATTGTTTCTATTGTTATTTGTTGGAGGTTTGGGTTGGTTTGTTTGCACTGTGTTGTTTGTTTAGTCTTGCACTGCGTCTATGTTTTTAGTCTTAATAAATTGTCTTATTCACACTATACCTGAAGTCTGCGTTTCCCTGTGTCATTCTACACATTTCTGGTCATACCCGGATCCCTAACAGGTAAAGCCCAGACACACAAGTTAACCAATCATGTCCAGAAGAGGTGGCCAAGTCGGCATTTTTTAGCATTTTAGGAAAAAGTATATAAAACCTAGATTTATTATTGTCAAATTAGACAAGCCTGGATAGGCGTCTATCAGGCTAATTGCTGTGTATGCAGCCCTATTGCACGGGTCACAGTCGTTAGAGCCAATAGACAAATATCCGGTGGATAGGTATCTATCAGGCTAATTGCTGTGTATGCAGCTCTATTGCAGGGGTCACAGTGGTTAGAACCAATAGACAAAAATATCCTTCTTTTTGCTGCTTCTTGTCTCCTCGTATGAGTAAATAAA